AGTGTTTTTACTTTCTTTAGATATTTACTCGGGAGTTGAGTTACTGACCATAAGGTAGTTCTATTTTTAGTTTTATGAGGAACTTCCGTACTATTTTCCATAGTTGCTGCACCAATTTACATTCTCATCAGTAGTGTCCAAGAGTCCCTTTCTCCACATTCTTGACAACATTTGTTATTTGTACTCTTTTTGATAATAGTCATACTGACAAGTGTGAGGTAATATTTCATTGTGGGTTTGATTTGTAGTTCTCTGATGATTAGTGTTGTTGAGCATCTTTTCACAGGGCCTGATGGCCACCTGTATGTCTCCCTTGTAAAAACGTCTATTCAGGTCTTCTGCCCATTTTAGTTGGGTTGTTTGGTTTTTTGACATTGAGCTGTATGAGCTGTTCATATATTTTGAATATTAATCACTTATCAGTCATATCCTTTGCAAATATTTTCTGCCATTCAGTAGATTGTCTTTTCATTTTGTCAGTGGTTTCCTCCTCTATGCAAAAGCTTTTAAGTTTAATTAGATCCCATTTGTTTATTTTTGCTTTTGTTTCCTTTGCTTTAGGAGGGATATCCAAAAAAAATATTGCTACAATTTATGTCAAAGAGTGTTCTGCCTATGTCATCTTCTAGGATTTTATGGTTTGCTGTCTTACATTTAGGTCTTTAATCCATTTTGAGTTTAGTTTTGTGTATGATATGAGAAAATGTTCTAATTTCATTCTTTTACAAGAGCTGTCCATTTTTCTCAGCATCATTTCTTGAACAGACTATCTTTCCCCCATTGCATACTCTTGCCTCCTTCGTCTTGGATTAATTGACCATAAATGTCTGGGCTTACTTCTGGGCTTTCTATTCTGTTCCACTGATCTATGTGTCTGTTTCTGTGCCAGTACCATACTGTTTTGATTACTGTAGCTTTGTAGTATAGTCTGAAGTCAGGGAGCATGATACCCCCAGATCTGTTCTTCTTTCTCAAGATTGCTTTGGCTATTTGAGGTCTTTTGAGTTTTCATACAAATTTTAGAATTATTTGTTCTACTTCGGTGACTAACCCTATTGGTACTTTGATATGATGGCATTAGGTATGTAGATTGCCTTGGGTAGTACGCTCATTTTAGCAATATTACTTCTTCCAATTCATGAACACTGTATTATCTTTCAATCTATTTGCAACATCTTCAATTTCTTTCATCAGTATCTTAGAGTTTTCCGAGTACAGAGTAAATCTCCTTAGATTTATTTGTAGGTTTGTTTTTTTCTGTTTGTTTTTGTTTTTTTGATGTTATGGTAAATGGACCATTTTCTTAATTTCTGATAGTTCATTGTTAGTGTATAGAAATGCAATATACTTCAGCATATTAATGTTGTATTTTGCAACTGTACTGAATTCATTGACGAATTTTTGGTGGCATCTTTAGAATTTTCTATGTGTACTGTGTGTCACCTGCAAACAGTGACAGTTTTACTTCCCTCTTTCCAATTTGGATTTCTTTTATTTCTTTTTATTGTATGACTGCTGTGGCTAGGACATTCAGTGCTCTGTTGGATAAAAGTGGCAAGAGTGGGCATCGCTGCCTTGGTCCTGTTCTTAGAGGAAATGCTTTCAGCTTTTCACCATCGAGTATGATGTTAGATATCGGCTTATCATATGGGCCTTTACTATTCTGAGGTTTGTCTCCTCTGTCCCTACTTTGTTGAGAGTTTTAATCATAAATCGATGTTGAATTTTGTCAAAAGCTTTTTCTGCATATATTGAGATGGTCATGATTTTTATTCTTCAATTTGTTAATATGGTGTATCATATTGATTGATTTGCAGATATTGAACTATCCTTGCATCCCTGGGATAAGCCCTGCTTGAGCATGGTGTATGATCCTTTCAATGTATTGCTGATTTCAGTTTGCTGATATTTTGTTGAGGATTTTTGCATCTATGTTCATCAGTGATATTGTCCTGTACTTTTCTTTTTCTGTGGTGTGTTTGGTTTTGTTATCAGGGTGATGCTGGCCTTGTAGAATGAGTTCAGAAGTATTCCTTCCTGTGCAATTTTTTAGAATAGTTTGAGGATAGGTGTTTACTCTTCTCTACATGTTTAGTAGAATTCACCCATGAACACATCTGGTGCTGGACTTTTGTTTGCTGGGAGTTTTTCGTTACTGACTCAATTTCAATGCTCTGGTAATTGGTCTGTTCATATTTTCTATTTATTCCTTGTTCAGACCTGGGAGACTGTGCATTTCTAGGAATTTGTCCATTTCTTCTAGGTTGTCCATTTTATTGGCATATAGTTGTTCACAGTAATCTCTTATGATCCTTTGTTATTTCTGTGGTATTAGTTGTAACTTCTTTGCCATTTCTGATTTTATTGACCTGGGCCCTCTTTTTTTCTTGATGAATCTGACTAAAAGTTTATCAATTTTGTTTACCTTTTCAAAGAAACAGCTCTTAGTTTCATTGATCATTTCTATTGTTTTCCTAGTCTCTCTACTTCATTTATTTCTGTTCTGATCTTTATGATTTCTCTCCTTGTGCTAACTCTAGGTTTTGTTTGTTCTTCTTTTTCTAGTTCACTTAGGTGTAAGCTTAGGTTGTTCAAGAGTTTTCTTGTTCCTTGAGGTAGGCTTGCATCTCAGTAAACTTTCCTTGGAATTGCTTTTGCTGCATCCCATCGATTTGGATCATTGTGTTTTAATTTGTCTTCAGGAGTTTTTTAATTTCTTTTTTGATTTCAATGATGCAATGGTTGTTTAGCAGCATTTTGTTCAGCCTCCACATGTGTGTTTATGTTTTTTTCAATTTTTTTCTTGCAGTTGATTTCTAGTCTCATAGTGTTGTGGTTGGAAAAGATGCTTGATATGATTTCAGTTTTCTTAAATTTACTGAGACTTATTTTTGGCCTAGCATGTGATCTGTCCTGGAGCATGTTCCATGTGCACTTAAAAAGAATGTGTATTTTGCTGATTGGGGATGGAATGTTCTATATATATATCTATTAAGTCCATTTTATCTAATGTGTTGTTTAAGACCAGTATTTCCTTATTGATTTTCTGTCTGGATGATCTGTCCAATGATGTAAGTGAGGGATTAAAGTCCCCTAGTACTATTCTGTTACTGTCAATTTCTCCCTTTATGTCTGTTAATATTTGCTTTATTACTGCTGTATTTTCTTCTTGGATTGATCTCTTGATCATTATGTAATGTCCTTCTTTGTCTCTCGTTACAGTCTTTGACTTAAAGTCTACTTTGTCTGATATAAGTATTGCTACTCCAGCTGTTTTCTGATTTCCATTTACATGGAATACCTTTTTCCATCCCCTCACTTTAAGTCTGTGTGTGTCTTTAGAACTGAAGTGAGTCTTTTGTAGGCAGCATATGTATAGTTCTTGCTTTTGCATCCATTCACACATTCTATGTCTTTTGATTGGAGCATTTAGTCTATTTACATTTAAAGTAATTATTGATAGGTATGTACTTATTGCCATTTTGTTAATTGTTTGGGGATTGTTTTTCTAGTAACTTTTTTGTTCCTTTCTTCTTTTCTCTTCCCTTGTGATTTGATGACTATCTAGTGTTATGTTTAGGTTTCTTTCTCTTTCTTTTGTGTATATCTATTACAGAATTTTGGTTTGTGGCTACCATGAGGTTTTTATGTATAAATCTCTATATTATTATTTTAATTTGCTGTTTTCTTATTTCAAATGCATCTTTAAAACCCTGCATTATATTCCCCTCCCCCCATTTACTGTTATTGACATCATATTTTACATCTTTTGGTTTTGTGTGTCCCTTAACTACACATTTCAGATATAAATGATTTTACTACTTTTGTCTTTTAACCTTCCTGTTGTTGTGTTGGTTAGATTCTGACAGGGCAGGCTGCAGTGCCGTGGTAGTCCTGAGGCTGGTGTCTGCCCACTGGTGGGAAGGGTTGGGGTCCTGGGGATCCCAGGGCTAGTACCCACCCACCAGGAGGTAAAGCTGGGTTCTGGGGCTTGGCTGGCTGATAGGCAGAGTTGTGTCCTGGGGTCTCTGGCTGCAGGGCCCAGGGTCCCAGAGCAGGTGTCTGACTGCTGGTGGGTGGGGCTGGGTCCCAGGGTATCCAACTACAGGGCCCTGGGTGTCCTTGAGCTCGTTTTAGCCCACTGGTATGCAGGGCCGGTTCCTAACACAGTTGGCTGCAGAGTCCTAGGTGTCCTAAAGCTTGTGAGATTTCCTGGTAGGTGGGGCTGGTTTCTGGGGAAGCTGGCTGAGGGGGCCAAGATGTCTAAGTGCTGGTGCCGGCCTGGTGGTGAGTGGGCTGGGTCCTGCCATGGCAGGCTGCAGGGCTGTGGTGGTCTTGGGGCTTGGGTCTGCCTACTGGTGTATATGGCTGGAGCCCACGATGTCCTGGGGCTGGTGCCTGCCCACTGGTGTGTGAGGCTGGTTGAGAGGCTAGAGCCAGCTTGCTGGTGGGCAGGGCCAGAGCCCAGGGGGGTCTTGGGGCTGGTACCTGCCCACTGGTGGCTGGAGCTGGGTCCTGTGGTCTCCAGATGCAGGGCCCTGGGGTTCCCAGGGATAGTGCCTATGCACTGGTATGTGGAACTGGGTCCTGGCCCCTCTGGTTGCTATGGGCTCAAGGGGTCTTAAGGCAGCCTGGCTGCTGGTAAGTGGGGCTGTGTCCCCACCCTGTTAGTTGCTTGGCCTGATACATCCCAGCACTGACCCAGCAGGGCCAGGTCAGGCACTCAAAACCTAGAGGGAGGATTCCAAATGGTGCTTACCAGCACCAGCGTCCATGTGGTAGAGTGAGCTCCCCCAAATGGCTGCCACCAATATTATATTAATTTATGTGATAAAAATTTAGAATAACATTATTTTCAGAAAATAAATTAAGTAACATGTATATAATTTAATGCTTAAGAATTTCAGAGATTAGCTTAAGAATAAAAAGACACTTAGCTTTTTTGTTCTATAACGACAACCTGCAGAATTAAAATCAGACACTTAGAACAGAAATCTTACCTGTTCGCTTATTTCTGTCCACATAACAATACTTTAACTCATAGTCTTGTAATAAATCATGGACTTCCTGAAAGAGACAAAACATGAACTCAATAAACACACGAATGCAGTTAGTAGATGATCCAGCTGTAGCAGCCAACCACCATTACCATCACCATCCCCCATGTAAAAAAATCTTCCATGGATCTCCATCACTTATTTAAATTAAAGGCATTCAGGCCCACCAGATATGGCACCAACCTACCTCTGCAAATACATCTCCCAATATATCCCTACACATGCCCATATTCCTGCTCAGATGAACACTCATTCTCTCATGAGTATACCATGCACAATCCTCATTCTGAATTACGCTGATACCTTGATCTAGCATGGGGCAAACATACCACTACAGCTTCCAAACCTCATCTAGAATCACATGCTTCCTTTGAAATCCCAGCTCGAATGTTCTTCCATGAAGATTTTTCCAGTTCTTTTCCACAGAACATAACCTCTCCCACCACTATGCTAACAATGGTCATACTTTATTTATGCCTCTCTTACACAAATAATATTAAATGTTTCTACTTGTGTTCTACATACTGAGTTTTTAACAAGTGTTACACCTGTAGATGGTAATACCAGCATGTAGAAGAAATAAATTAAAACCTAATTTAGAGATCCCTGGGTATGAAAACAAGTAACAACCACCAATGTATGGTATGTAGTCCAATTTATTTCCCCTTGGCTCCCCAAGATGTTTAAACTGGCTTTCTTGTTTGTTCAGTTTCTATTATTAATCCAGTCTGAACTTTTAAACTGTGATATCATAACTTCCATCCACCTGGGAAAATACAGTATATTTCCTCTGTATTTCTCCAATCCTTTCTGTTAAACTGATAATACTTGAGTACAAGAACTATATTTTATTTATCTATTACATATATTGCTTTGAGCATACTAGGCATTCACATAAACATTAAAGTGAATATAATTTATTTTGTCATTGACTTGATATCAAGCCTTGAAAATTTTACTCATAATCAACAACCGATGTAGTTATTATTTTTTAAAGGAATTGAACTATCACATAAGTGGACATTTGGACCCCAGATTAGAGAGTGGTACAGCCAACCTGTTATATATTACAAATGAATACACTAAACAGACATAAGTTGTTAGGATGTTAAGTTTGCAACCTAAACTAATTAATTCAGTAATATAATAATAATTCTTATTACTGATATTTTTATAGTTAACATTCATTTAGTTTTTACTAGGTACCAGAACACTGAACTTACTCCTTTCATTAAAAAATCAGGAAACCAGAGCAGAGCAAATTCAAGTAACTTGCCAAAGCTTACACTCAGTAATTTGCTGAGTATAAATTCACCAATTGGCTTGGTTCTAGGGACAACACTCTTAACTTCTATGCTACACTGCCTTATTTCTTCCAGGATTAACTGAAATAGTATACTACGACAGTTAGTCATAAAACCAACGCCACAATGTCCGAATAAGTGATCATATGGAAATGGAAAATAAGTAAGAGGACAGTTACAAGTTGAGAAACATTTTCTCTTTCAAACCAACATAAGGGAGTGGGGGAGACGGATATAATAGGGAAAGTATAAAAATAGTGCTGGGTGAAAAAAAGACAATCATCTTTGATATAAGAAAGATAAGAAAGGTAAAGGTGACAATTTAGTATTCTTTATCAGTAAGTCAATATTAGAAATGTTTTAAAATATATATACTTATCAATTGTGTAAAATATTGTTTGATGAATTACATAGTAATATGATCAACATACAGATTAGTTTATATATTACTGCTATGGTAATTTTTTGTCTCATAAGCTTCAATATTTTCTTGAACTTAAACAACAGTGTATTGCTCATTAAGTAAACATAACTCTCTCAGCAGCATACCATATATATTTTGCCAATCAGCTAATTTAATATTATACTTTATATAGAAGGTGACACAGTTTTGTTTGAAAGGCCCCAGTGTGTGCTTTTAGTTGCACAAACTTTAATCTCTCATTTCACTAGTTAACAGCTGTCAAATGCCAGATAAAGAAAACATGATACTGCTCTTCACTTGATCAAGTCTCCGTAAACAATTGACATATTACTCGTTTAGCTAACAGAATCACCTAAGTTTTCAAAGATACATTTTGCAAGTTGGAAATTTTATTTCTAAAACACCCGTATTTCTAATCATAGCTTTCCTATGTATCAGACGTGGAATACAGATTTTGCCAACTGGGAAACTTTACAAAGCTTCCTGCAAAGAAAAAAACAATTATTTTTCTCCATGCCCTGGTTGCCTTGACCCAGGCAAAAGTGGGTCACCCCTCAACTTGAGCCTCGGCAAGTTGGCCAAATTAAAAACTTAAAACCTGAAAGAGAGTCCTAACAACCATTTGCCAAAATTCTACTGTGCTCCACACCACACAAAACCAAAAGGACTAAAATTATGTCTCCCTGTTCTAATCTAGTTTTACGACCCTTTAACTTACAAGCTAACTTTAAGGAATGAAGTTGCACCTTGATGCAAATACTTTGTCCTCTGACTAGCAATATCAGTTACACATTTCTTACAGTAAGATGAGCTAGCTCATCGAAATTGGTAATTGTTAGATAGCTTTAGTAACCTATTTCCAGACCCAATTCACCAACACCCCCTGGAATTAAATGAAAAGTCTTCCACATATGAAATGCTTCCTGGGGAGAGGTTTAATAGCTTTCAACTCAAAGCAGTCTGTTAATAACCCCCCAAAAGTCAAACAACCATTGTTCTAGCTGGTGTGGACTTCTTCCTGAATGAAACCCAGCCTTAGTTTTAAACTTGAATCACACTGTCTTCTAAGCCCTTTGCAGACTTATGTTCTAAAAAGGGCTTTCATAGATTAAAGCACTTTGCTTTTAAATTCCACTTTTTTGGAATGAAAAAAATATTTTTATTTATGTTCTTTTAAAATGTTAAGTGATTCGATAATACAAAATGATTATCTGTAACATATATTATGAGGCATAATTATGAAATAAGCAACCAGGAGCTCTACACCAAACTGAAAGACTAGGACATTGGCAACACTGTTCCATCCAATTATGCCTTCCTGCAGTAGCCCATCCCCATAGCTGGAGTCCTCAGGCAGCTTTGTATCCCCAAATAATACATTGTTTTGGTTTGTTTCTGAGCTTTATAAAAATGGTATTATGCTCTTTTTAATCTTCTTTGCCTTGCTTTTTATACTCAATATTATGTTTCTAAAATTCATTCATGATCCACATGGCTACTGTTCATATATTCACTATGGTTTAACGTTCCATTCTGTGATTTTAGTATGGTTTACATACCTATTTTTCTATCAATGAATATTTGATTTGTTTCCAGGTTGTTGCTATTTTGCTACTGTTTGCTATTAAACTACTGTCGCCTTCTTGTAAATTTTACATATCTCCTGGTGTTTCTGTGCAAAAGTTTCTGAAAGTAGGAAATTCCTGGGCTATACACATGCAAATGATCGTCTTTACAAGAAAGTGCCAGCTTCTTTACCAGAAAGATTGTTACAGTTTACATTCCCATCGATGGTATATGAGAGTCCTTACAATGCTTGGTCTCATCAGACACTTAAATTTTGTCAATTTAGTGGATATAAAATCATACCTCCTTGTGCTCTTGATTTGCATTCCCTTGATTAATAAGGCAGAGCATTGTGATGGTTAGTTTTGTGTGTGAACTTGGCTACAGAATCCAGTTCTTAAATAATCTACGTGTTGCTGCAAAGGTATTTTCTAGATATGGTTAATATCTACAATCAGTTTACTCTAAGTGAAGGAGATCACCTTGGATAATGCAGGCGGGCCCCATCTAATCAGCTGAAGAGCTTAAGAGAAAAACTGAGGTATTCTGAAGAAATCCTGCCTGAAGACTGTAGCATCAACACCTGCCTGAGTTTCTAGCCTGCTGGTATACCTCACAGATTTTAGACTAGCCAGCCCTCACAATCAACCAATCCATTTCTCTATGTATGTATATAGTATAAATACACATTAATATAAATTTTATATATGTTTCTCAGAAGAACTCTGATACAGGTATTTTTCATATTTGTTTACCATTTATTTCCTCTACTGATAAACATTTACTTATCTTTATTGCCCATTTTTCTATTGTGTTTATATTTTCTTTTTTTTTTTTTTTTGCAGTACGCGGGCCTCTCACCACTGCAGCCTCTCCCGTCACGGGGCACAGGCTCCGGACACGCAGGCCCAGCGGCCATGGCTCACAGGCCCAGCCACTCCGCGGCATGTGGGATCTTCCCGGACCGGGGCACGAACCCGTGTCCCCTGCATTGGCAGGCAGACTCTCAACCACTGCGCCACCAGGGAAGCCCTATATTTTCTTTTATTGACATATAGAATTTTTTTTTAATATTTTGGATAGTAATTCCTTGTTGGGAAGCATATTATATATGTATTCCCGTAGTAAGTGGTCTGTCATTTTATTTGTGGGTACTTTTGGTAAAGAGAAGTTTTTCATTTAATGAAGCCAAATGTATCAGCTTTTTCCTTTAGAATTTCTGTTTTTTGTGCCTTAAGAAATCCTTTCCTACCCAAGGTCATACGATAGTTTGTCTTCCAAAAGTTTTTAAATTTTTTCTTTCACTTATCAGTTTTTAGTCAGCTGGAGTTAGCCATATTATTCTAGCCATAATGTCCAGTACAATCTTGAATAGAAGTGATTCTGGTATTGCTCCTAATCTCAAAGGGAAATTTTTCAATATTTCACCATTGAACATGATTGCTTTTGGTTTCTCTAGATAATCTTTAAGTTTGAGGAATTTGTATTCTATTCCTGTTTGCTATGAGTTTTTATTATGAATGGGTGTTAAATGTTATCAAATGCTTTTTCTGCATCTACTGAGATGACTTAAGTCCCATCTTCATGCCAGTGATCTCCAAATTTTTATCTCCACCTCAAATTTCTCTCCCGGGCTCCACACCTATACAAGCTATTGCTTGCTCAGAACTGCATTTGAATGTTACACACCAGATAACACTGTTCTGGGCCCAACAC